CAGGTCAACAAAACATGGGCATAGTAATTTTTTATACTATATTTATCCATTTTAAATACACCAACTCATTTGTAACAAATAAGGCAAAATTGTAATTAATTCAGAAAATCTTTTCATGACCCCACCTTGATGTTTCAGGACCCCACTTTGGGTCCCGACCCCAACTTTAGGAAACATTGCTCTTATAAACACTGAAAAGTACTACATTTACAACTGACTAAATAAATAATACAAAAACATTATTAAAATTAAAAGTAAGAGTTTTACTCACTTTTGAGTTGTGGTGAGTAGCCACCATCTTGAATTTTGAGCTCTCCCACTTTCCAACTGGGAATTCCTACTGGAGGAGCATTCCAGTTTAAATTAAATACAAATGGGCCACAGCAAAATTAACTGTCAAAAATTCAACTAAATAGAGATTTTGCACAGCAAATTGTGCCTACTGCTGACTACTTTTGAAATCTGTGAACCTACAGCTAATGGTGGGTTGCCATGATTTGRGGGTAAAATAATGGAAATGCATAATGGGAGATGTAGGTTATGGTCAATGCTGACTTTAAATCAACCTATTTTAAGATATTAATACATCCTTGAAGCTGTCATGGGCCACATAAAATGCTGTGGTGGGCCAAATTTTGCCTGCGGGCCTTAAACTTGACACGTGTATTAGATCATTTTATTCATGAAAGATAAAACCACAAAAAAAAAAAAAAGGGTAGCAGTGTGCATAAAACAATGACTTTCCTATGATTCAAAAACTTGTCAAACAACTTTTAGTTGATGTAGCTTTTTTTTTCATGATGTTATCGGGCAGAATTTTCCACAAAATAACTTTAAATAGAAAGTTTCTAAAGGTTTTCAGAATGCAGATGCTGCAGTATGAAGATGTAAGTAGTGTTCAGCCTGTAAGAACATTTAATCACGACTTAGCACTGTTTATTCATTGAGACTAAGTAAGATGGAATAAGCTGCCACTAAGTCGTTGTGTTTGACTTTGTGTTACAGTTGTACCTTTAAGCACACAGAGCTGAATAAGAGACAATAAGAATAGCGTCTATTTCCAAGAAGTAGCAGCTTTGAACAGCTTAGGGAGCTGAGACAGCAGACCTGGATAAACATGGAGAACCTCTCTTCCGATCCTCTTTCAACTCTATAGATCAGCCAGAATGAATCTGGAAGTAGATTAGTTAAGAAAGCCTGAATGGCTTTAGAAGGTCAAAACAATCATATCTACAAAGACGAGAGGAAATGAGAAATTCATCTGAAATTTAGTTATTTTATTGTGTGAAAAATGAATCAGCATTTACACAGTTAATCTGTTTTAATATTTTCCCGAATGTGTTTTACAGTCCAAYAATATGATTTTAGCCATTCACACATTTATCAAGGTTTTGTTTGTTGTGACTTTAATACACAATGGTATTTTCCCCAAAACAATTCGATAAGATCTCTTTAATTTCCCAGAACCCTTATTCTCTTTGATGTCTAGTCAGCATGTTTGTTTTAGTTTTGATTCCGAAAGCTGCTTTTAGTTTTTAATTACCCCTCTGCAACATTTAGCTTTGACACTGTTTTGATACAGTTAGCTYTTAGCCTTTTGATTCTTTTAGATTTACCAGAAAGCTAGCTAACAGTATCACACACATTTGTTCTGCCATCCTCATGAGGACTTTRCACTGACTTCCATTCATTTACCATAGCCTAATCCTGACCCCTTACCCTAAACCTAACCTCATGCATACAGTAGCTGACCCAATGCCTAAACTAAACTCAACTCACACCTTGATCCTAAACCTAACCCCCCACCCAAAATCAACATCTGTACCAGGTGCTGGTCCCCATGAGGAGCACGGTATCCCCACAAGACTGTTTATTACAAAAAAGGTCCCCATAATGTAGCAAACACTTTTAATTTAGCAAATTATTATTATTATTATTATTATTATTATTATTATTATTATTATTATTATTATTATTGTATTTATAAAGTTATTACATCCATTATTCATAAGGCATCTCTTGAGTCACCACACATCAAAGTTTGGCACACAGAAAAGTCATAAGGCTTGTATTTTTATTCATGCTGCCATCTGCTGGTCATGTCGGAGATCTTTGGGTTTGACTCATTTGATTTAACTCAAAGTGGGGAAAAAGAAACTGGTTTTTCAGATATGGGCCATTGGGCCAGGTCTGGCAATGAAGGCACTGTTTTTTAGATGGAATGCTGCAAGTGGTCCTGTTGTGGTTTGTTTTATGTGGTGCCGGCTGATGAATGGACCATCTCAGTCAAACCACATCTGAACCACCAAAGGGTCATTATTTTTTGTGGTAGCTGGGAAAAGTGTTAGTGTGTTTGTGCATTGTGTGGGCCAGAACTGGGCCAAACAAATTTTGCTATGTGAGTATATAATCTGCACTCAGAATATGAGTTATTGAAACAAGAAGCATGTTACTTAATTGTAGCCATTTTTTGTGTTTGCAAAGGTCGGTGGTGATTTTGAAGCAGGTTGTGTCCAAGGATGATCCGTTGCAGATGTTCAGCCAGTGATTATTTTTAGTACTCAAAGTTTCATTCAGATCTATTCACTGGTTCATGACATGTTTTGCTAAAATGCAGACAAATGCCCACATGGGCAATTTTCATGGGGGTGGGTATTGAAAGTGTATAAATATCTATCTTCTCTGGTAGATTGATGGGGGTTGCGGTGGTCTTTTTCCTGGTATGTACCCAGATTGCAGACAGGTGTAGGTCAGATCTGGTGTCAAGATGGCACAGGTGGCTGACTGATGGTGTGGCTAGTGGTTTGTCAACCTCTTGTGAACTAGGTCTTGCAATGACGGCATTGTTTTTAAGATGGTATGCCACAACTGGCCCGATCGCAGTTTGGTTTATGTGGCCCAAGTCTATCAATGCCACAACTCTCCCAGTTGATTTACGTGGCCCAAATTTGTCCGTGCCACAAATGGTCCAGTTGTGGTTTGGTTTATGTGGCCTAAATTTGTCCGTGCCACAAGTGACCCTGTTGTATTTTTGGTTTACGTGGTCCTGGTCCATGCATGGACCACCTCTGGCAAACCACATCTGGGCCACCAAAGGATCGTCATTCTTTGTGGTATCAAAGCTGATTATTAGTGCATTGTGTGGGCCAGAACTGGGTCAATATTATTTTTATTTGTTGTAAAAGACATTTGAAGGAGACGCCAAACATCTATCATGACTTTCATTACTAACCCTGAGAGAACATACTGCATGTATGGACCCTGGACAGCGACAACAGATTAGTTGGTTTGGACACAAAATACTGCAATACAAACTATAGTTTGGGGAGGGGGTGGACCTTATATTGCTGACTGAAAAATTCAGTCGTACAAATTAAGACTCAGGAGTTCATCTCTGTCTGAAAGATAAACAATGATAATAATGAACATACTGTACAAAGAAMAGTGTTTTTCAAAGTTACAACAATCTGCTAAATTAAGAAGAAGAGAAGGCTTTTGGCATTATCKTATTACATACCAACAAAAACAATAAAAACAAGTGAACTCTCTATTCCTGTCACACTTTTGTGATTAAAACCAGTAAATTGCTAACTCCATCTTTGTGTATGTTCAACCCCATTACTTCCCACTTTGCCACAGACATACTTTTCTTTTCCAAAAAACAACATTTTGGACATAGTATTTATTTCAGTCTTTAAATTTTATAACTTCTGAATAACATAACAAAACAAGAAAAAAAATAAACAATAACAACATAAGACAAATACACAACTTTAATCACACCCAAGGTTGACAACATTAGCAGTTATGAAAAAAATAAAAAATAAAATCACAGGAAAATATCCAACCCCCACATCCTTCCCCTCCCCCTCCTAAAACAGCTCTTGTAGACTTTGATTACACTGGGAGCGTTTTTTATTTTTTTTAACCATATAAGAGGTGTGACAATGGGAGCCAGATTAAAACATACAGAAACAAATCAAAAAAACTGTAAAATCCGGAGTTAGGTTTGGATATAAATTCAAGTCATCCCAAACTACCGGAGCATTGTTTTTATTGCAAGGTCCAGCACCTGGAAATGTTCAAGGACACATAACAAATGTAGTGTTTTTTATTATTATTATTTTTTTAAGTTGCCACTATTAGATTTTTATTTTTGCACTTTTATTTGTAACATTTTGTAAGCATTAGACTAACTAAAAGCAAATTGTCTATTTGCGCTAGCGTTTGTTCATTTCACAAATTTAAATCAAAAGTTCGAAGTGACCGGCTTGTTAATGTCGTGAAAGACAAACAAATATTATTAATAATAAAAAAGTCTGTTTGTATTTTTATGTTTGGGCTAATGAATTCCAGCCATATGGTTGTAAGTTAAATCTCCCCTCAGCCAAATACAATTTATAATTTTTTCTTTTCTCAAATATATATTTATTATGTATAAAATACTGTTCCATTCATAAAAGCCTTACTTTGTACAATATCTGAGTTGACGTGTAAAGAAATATTGAGCAAAAAAAAAAATAAATGATTGCAGACATGTGTGAGCCTTGAGGAAAAAAAAGGAAACTTGTTCTAACAGCTAGTGCTGGTTGAAGACCTAATACACTAAAAACAAAAGGTGTTTTACACAATATACACATTTCATTACTTACAATTTAAAAATAAAAAAATATCTAAAGAAAGTGTGAGTAGCAGGTGGGATACAGCAGAGTTAGTGTCACAAAATGTAATGTAGGATGACAGGAAAGGAGAATAGAGGAAGGAAGAGCGTGAATGAATTGCTTTGCCAGAAGAAGGCAGTCAGTCTCACGAAGGAAAGCTTATCAGTGCATCTCGTCCTGGATGTTGCAAAGTCAAAGTGCCCATTTGTTAACCATGGAAAACCATCCATTCCTCATGAATATGGCCCAAAAAGAAGGTACAAAATCACATCTTTTCCTCAACGTGTCAAAAGCGATTATTTTCAAAGAAAGAGAGAAAAAAAAGTAGTCCTTTTGGGGGGAAAGAAAAAGAAAAAATACACTTTTCTTGTCATACATCCATCATGGCACCATTTATCGGATAAATTTTTTTTCTTTTGCTTTGAGGTACTTTAAAACAAAGACTAAATATAAGAGTATTTACGTCAGTTTGTGTGTTTTTCAAGCTGTGTAACACAGTAGCACCATTGTTTCAACTGTTTTTTCCGGAAGACAATGCACCATTGGAACTCCACCTTGTTTTTATCCCAACAATCGACTAGGCAACCCCAATTTGTCCTCCACCATCTCGTCAGAGTAAATGTTGTTACTGTTCGGATCGTCAGCTGGCAACGGTGAATCTGCTTGTTGCCACGTGACATTACGTCCTCGGGGTTCTTTTCATGCAGACCACACAACGGCTGATGCGTGATCGTAGATTACCCGCTTTTAAGGTCTCCGACTGTGGTTTCCTGTGGGATGTTCAAGAAAGTTGGAAAAATGAGAAATGATTAAGACTCAGAATTTAAACAACTGTTTTTCATCTTAAGGAAAAAATCAGGCAAAAGGTTGTATTCAGTAAAGCTAAGGAGTCAGTGGTTTTGGCAGAGCTACAAGGCATAATGTGGCATACTTCAAGTTTTTTTTTTAATTAAACTGTCTGTTTTAACCTTTTAATCAGTTTAGAAAAAGTACATTTTCAGTTCAAGTATATTAAGCAGAAACTTTGAAAAAGTCTTGCTGTTTAACTATATTAATGTACAGGACGAGCCAAAAGTCACAGGGCACACATTTATTGACATACTGTATATGATCCAATATGGTGGCTTTTGAGCTGGCGGCCATATTCTTGACACAGCCCAAACAGATAGACCCACCCACCCATTACTTGCTGGGGTATTTAGATTATGTCTTTTTCTCTTTTCTTTCTGAAATAAAAGGTTGTTCTAAGACTTTAGACTCATCCTGTGGCACACCACCAATCATAAACCACTCTGTAACTTATATGCTCATTATGACAATATCCAATATGTTTGTGTAATTACCAGTGGTGGGAACAGCTAACCAACAAGTTAGGTTCATTACCCACTAATCCACTAAACAAGAATCTTAGCTCTACTAGTGCTTAACCATTAAACAGAAGAAGAAAAAATAGTAGAAGCTAATGCTAACCGCTAAGATAGCTTTCCAGTTGATCTCCTTCTCAGCTGACACAAATACAATGGGCCTCATGCAAGAACCGTTCGTACGCACAGATTTGTTCTTAAGTTGTGCGTAYGAGTGATTTAGGAGAATTTGTGGCATTCACCAATGTTTTCGTATTCTAAGATTTTTTTCAGATACGAACAAAATTCACGAGTGGTCCAGACCTGTCGTATATTTTACGTACAGTCAGTCTGCTGTTATCCAGACGGGTTTTCTTCCCTAATAACTTTATATTTCATTAGTTTGAAGATATTTTGAGTTGAAAATAAATCACACTCCATAATTATGTTGACAATAGGCTATTCTGCTTGAATTAAGAGTTATAATTTTAAATGTAATAATTTAGACTAACAATTAATTGTCCGGCCGGCTTATCCATCATCGGGTCGTGGGGGCAGCAGGAGACCCCGCTCTCCCCAGCGACACCTTCCAGCTCGTCCTGGGGGACTCCGAGACGTTCCCAGGCCAGAGGGGATACATAATCCCTCCAGCGAGTCCTGGATTTTCTCCAAAGTGCCAGACTTATTTTGAAATCATTTTAACATGCTTATTTCAGAACCGCTACTGAGACCACTTGAGACCGCGCGGGGGGTTCGGTGCGCAGCGCTGTGTCTTCTGAATAAATGAAAATGATTTAACACAGTTGTTTATACTTTTAGCAGCTCTTTTTATTCCACAGCTGACCTGCTAAAAMTGACAGATTTTCTTTTCTGGATCTCTGACAGACAGACTTCAATCTCTGAACTCGTGAAGTTTTTCTTTTTAGTTTTCGCTGTCATTTTCATGAATGGACACTTCCTGATATCTGAGGCAGGAATCACAGCCTTATATGGTGTTTTTGGGGTGGTAATTATGCTAATCTCCTCTCGCGTGCACGAGCAGCTGGATACGAACAGGTGGAATTTACGCAGCTCATTTACACACTTTTCCTGAAGATAGAAGAGTTTGTTGAATCTGACGTGACATGTTCGTACGAACCCTTYRTACGAACAAAAGTAAGAGAAATTTAGGATAAGAATACGAACATGTTCTTGCATGAGGCCCAATGTTTGTTTTCTGCTGTTTAATTTCAAGGTGGGTGGAATCATCAGTGGCAAATCAGCCAATCCAAACMGGTTATAGATCTGTCTAGCTTTTGATACTTCCAGTTTCAGATTAAAAGCATTTGTTTTATCAAATAGCAAATAATTTCTCTACCATATTTTTTTTGTTTTGTGTTTGCCATATTTTAATTTGGAATAAATATAGCACACACAMCAAAAATAGTTTACACTTGTAAGTTTTTCGTGGACTTAAAATTAGGGGAATGCAATTTAACATAAGCTAATCAGCCCGCTAACGATTTCCAAAGTTAGCAAAAAAGATAATTTGCTAAATGAGAGGCTAGTTTCGCTTATAGCACATTAATGGAACTGTGCCCACCACTGGTTATTACTAAAATGATCACTTCGTAATATTGGTGTGGAGAGTATGGATATAAGGGGAGAAGAAATGCCATCAGTTAAAGCAGCATATGGGCACCAATGATCCTTGCAACCAATAAAAGACAGGCTTAAAGATGATGGATTTGTATCCCCTTTCATAACTCAATGCTCAAGCGTTAAATTACTCCAAATAATTTTCTTGGTACCAACCTGAACATCTCAGATTGCTCCACAGTAGCCAGCCAGAAGCTGTAGGAGTTGCTGAAGTAGTTGCACGACCCTCGGCCATGACACTCTATGAAGGGTGTGCTGCGAAACTCCTCCAGACAGGAACCAGGGGAGGCCAGCGCCTGACCTGAGCCCTCTGCACCCGCGCTGGTATGCTGAAAGGGGAAAAGGGAATATGTGACTCATTGCGTCAAACCAGGGAATAAGCCATATTTGCTCAAACTCAACTAGGCACATTGAAAGATTCCAGGTTTTTTTACCCTACATTTTGATACTTTGATCATCCTGATATCACGTGCCATGCCAACTTCTTTAGCGCTTCATCAATTCCCTAGACTCCATTATTACACCCACACACTGATGGTGGTAATCTACATTGTTTTGAACCCCAGGTGAATGGTTGGTTGTCTTGTTTGTCTCTATGTGACCCTGTGATGGACTTACAACCTGTCTAGCAGTGTTGTTTTCGTTAATGATGACGAAATATCTTCGTTGGCGCCCCCTTTTTTCACAACGATAACGAGACGGTAACAAAATAAACATAGCTCTTTGATGACTAAGACGTGATGAAACGTGTGTGAGTTTTGGTTGACGAGACGAGACTGGACGAAAATGTTGGTGGTCTGTCAATCATTTAGAATGCAGAGTGGAGGGAGGGACAGCAGCGCTGTTACACACACACAACAGCACAGAACTGTCCCGTTCTCATTCAGTACAGAAGGAAGACAGCCTGCGCCACTTCGCAATAAAATAAAATAAAAAAGTCCGTCCGTCATCTGTAGCTTAACCAGGGAGTAAGGTCTCCACCATTAAAAGCTGTTGCAGGTCCATTCTGAGCTCAGAAGCTGTTTGTTTACGTTCATGACGAAAGTAAAACTCTTTTTTTGGACTGGGGAGAGTTAGAAACTGCGCGTGTCAGTGCTTCTGTTCTGAATAAAAGCCTGGTGCATGTAAACACTCGTTTGCACAAGTTTAATAGTCTACTAAGTTTAGGACTGCATGATGTCCAGATGATGGATGTTAGCCACAAAGTGTGTAAATGAGTCATTGTACCATCATAAAGGAGTATCCAATCCACATAGGTTCCCAGTCTGGTGGGCAAGTAGGTATCTGGATGGTCTGACTGTGGACTGCAATCACCATAGCGGGAGCTTCACATACCCTACATCTAAAAAAACACAGAGATTAAACCTGAACCATTTTTCTACACTACCAGAGCTCCCCACCTCCCGCGTCCCTCCCCGCCTACCTGCTGATGTAAGGCTCGATGGTCGCCCCGGTCACAGCTTCCATGGACATAGGCATGGGTTTTGGCGTGGACAGCCAGTAGGAGTAGTCGTTGCGTGACGCGAAGTTGCAGACGTTGTTGATGTTGCAGAACATGAAGGGCATGGGGCTGAACCTGCTCAAGCAGCTGCCGGCTGTGCCTGGCGTAGCAAACATAGGTGGGACATTAGCTGAAAAATGTTTCGTCTTTTCAAGTCAAATGAAAAAGTTGAACAAAATAAAAGCCCGTCCTACCGAGGTCCTGTCCGTGCGCCCTCTCGTTGCCCTGCACGTACAACAGAGAGTACCCCTCATAGATGGGCTGAGTCCCGGCAGGGCACGGGGGCACTTCTTCAGTCTGGCTGTGTCTGGTGATGAGGAAACCGTGGGCTGCTGAGACTGACCCTGGAAAACCGGGGGGACCCTGTGGTCCGTCTGAACCGGGGGGACCAGTGTTGCCACGCAGACCTAAGATAAAAGGAAAGGCGTAAATCAAAAACTAGAAACTGGGCAATGGAGCTACAGAAACTGAGAGAATGCCTGCTGAAGAAAAAAAAACACAAACAGTAAGAAAATTACATTTTATTTCTAATTTTCTTATGTAACACAGCCTTACTTACCAGGCTGACCAGCAGGTCCAGTGTCACCTTTCTTCCCAGGTGGACCATTGAAACCAATTGGACCAGGAGAACCAGGATCCCCAGTCTCACCACGTGGACCTGGGAGAGGAAAAAAAAACTTTCTTTTTGTACAAATAAACTCTAAATCTATATTTAAAACACTTTGAAATGTCAACTTATGAATCAAATATTAATTAACAACAACTGAACTGAGTTTTCTGTTTTTTTTTTCAGCTTGCACCAAAACCCAGTTTGACCTACCTGGGGATCCTTCAGGTCCAGGAGGACCAGGCAGGCCTTGGGACCCAGGGAACCCCCTTGGACCTGGGGGCCCTCGCTCACCTTTCACAATTGTAGAAGGTGGAAGTTGAGCAGGGTCACCAGGAAGACCTAGTTAGAAATAAACCATACAAACAAAAACAGATTTAAACAGTAGATATCAAACATGGGGTTCCTCTCTTCTTTTAATTGTTTTCGTTGACAGGAAAYACTCATCATTCATCGACACTGTTCAGACTGTGTGCAGCTAAGCTCCCAGTTTTCTCTAAGTGAAGCTGTATGTTCACCTACCAGGACTTCCAGGATTGCCAGGATCTCCAGGAAGACCACTTATGCCAGGTTGTCCTGGCTCCCCCTTCATTCCTAGGAGAAACAAAAGCATTTTATTTATTTATTTTGCTGTTGTAACTATCCTGCCCCACATCAGTAGTGATGTGGGCCAGACCCAAATCCCACCAAATAAAGACATTATTTGAGAACTAACCAGGGAATCCAGGAGGACCAGATGCTCCGATATCTCCCTTCCCACCAGGGACACCAGGAATACCAGGGACGCCCTTGTAGGTAAGAAATGCAGACAGTAAATTCTCAAGAGTCCAGCTCGTTTGGAGTTTTCGACCATTTAGAAGAAATCGGACCCCCCACCCCCCCTTCGTTTAAGAAAAATCAAAAATTACCGGAGATCCCGGAAACCCAGTGTCCCCTTTTTGTCCAGCAAATCCAGGCTGGCCAGGAATACCGGGATTACCCTTCTCTCCCTTCACACCGCCACTTCCTGGGAGTCCACGGGGACCTTCTGGGCCAGGTGGACCTACAGATGTAGATGTTAAATGGTCAGGTAGAGGACAATATTAGGCTTTCTATTTTCATCGAGGTTGAACTTGGTTTAATATTCCTTTAGCAACTMAAGGGTACAGAGCTAAAAAATAAAATAAGACAGCATTTTTGGCTTTTTAAAATTAAACTTTATGCATAATAGTGAATTTCACTACTTAAGTAATATTAAGCAAGCTAATCACAAAGTCTAAATGTACAAAAATACCTGCTACACATTTTTTCTAGATAGCTAAAAACACAAATTTAGCTAAAAACTACTAAGACGCTTGGACAAGCCCAAAAATATATTGTAAAAAAGCAGAAAATGTAATTTTATGTAATCCTGTCCAATATTTTACAAAATCTCTGTTTCTACAGCCTGTAGCGCACTTTCTGTGACTGTTGATGACAACATGCAAACAGCATTGTTGGGTTCAATTTCAGCACCTTAAAGACCTCTAGTCCACAAAACATCACAAAGTTTTATGTATTTTATAGTAGGGAAGAATTTTTCCTTCTTAGGTTGCCCAAATAAATAGTTTGACATTTTATAGTGAATTCTAGTCTAGAATTTTTGAAGACCCTACACATCAGATCTGGTAACTGGTGACAAGTCCCTGTTTCCAGTCCAGCCTGTAGGGGTCTGCAGTTGTTGTCTATGGAGCTCTTTTTTAAGTTTTATTCATTTGGTTTTATTTATTTTTCTAAAACTTAACTTATACACAACACCAGCAYGTATTCTGTCTTTTACTGAACTGGACAGTCTGGTCTCTGGCAGCTAGAAACAATCAAAATGTAAAGAGGAGCACCACCCAGTGGCAGAGGAGGAGTTAATTTTTTTTATATAAAGGTGGTCCTACATGACAATTTATTGAGGGTTTATTTATGTTTCTTGGTCATTTTCTCATTGACTTACACAGGCAGTGACTACCATGTAGAATTACATGAGAATTACCTACATGGGCAGTGCAGTTGAAATAAACATTCTGCACGATAGTGTAGAAATAGCTTCTCCAAAAGCAGTGATGGGGTGGCCACTGGGGTGGCCAAACATTTTTTATGGTGCCACCCTCTGGCTCTACCCTTGCCTAGTGGACTAATTAAAAAAATAAATCAAGGGATAGAGGTTAAAATACTAAAAAACAAAAAAAAATGTGACTGAAATAAAAGCATTATCTTGTGTGACAAATATGAGCTAATATAGCTAAGCTAAGTAAAATTTAAATTATGTGCTAAAATATGTCATTGGGTAGAATGAAGCTGGAAAAATAAATATGAAGGTCAATTAAATTATAAAACATGAGGTAAAGTTCTCACTTTTAAAATTTATTGGTGTATTTTAAGTGTATTTATATATTATTTGGGTCATTTAAATATTTCTGCTTTTATTTTTTGTTATGGCAGTTTTGGTCCTCCATAAATTTTTCCCCAAAGACCACTAAAGGGGTGACTGGGAGTTTACTGGAGCTTTTGAAACGTTTTGAAAGTAGAAAAAATATATATTTTTTACGTCTTCGATTAATCAAGATAAGTCATAAGTAAATAAAATCACAAACAAGAGTAAACGTGTTACCTGAGGATCAAACAGTGTGAGAAATGTGGAACAACTTTGGTAAAGTTTTGTGACATTTGAAACCAGTCAAAAAGAATAAAATGGAGAATGAATCACGATAATTGAAACACACTTAATGTCAATCGCAGAAATGTCACAATTTATTCACAGTTACATACTGTAAGTATGCTAATCAGAGTGAATCCAAGTGAAAACTTGCATATTTTCTTCCAGTTTTAACTGTATTCCTGCTGATCGACTGTGAAGGGGTTTTGGTTTATTGGAAAATGAAAGCGATCCTGACAGCAGTCCGGGCCTGTGAGAAGCTGTCAGGAACCTTGGACGGAATCTCCCGTACTGGAAAYGCACAGACTTAAATGTTGGGGGATATAAGTCGCAAACTGGAAGTGATTTTGACGAGGATCACATTTCAGCAGCGTGAGGAGTTAGATCACAYCTGGGTGCAGTTTCAGACGGAAACAGAGGCGAGGAGGTAATGAAATTCAGAACATTGACATTTTTGCCATCACAGAGATGCAGTTAAAGACTGAAAGCTGTGAGAAAATCAAGGCTGCTTGTCCCAAAACAATTATGTTCATCTTTTGGATCCCTGTAGCTGCTGACCTTGGTTTGGCAGTTATTAAAACTCCCTTGGATGACACATGAAACAAAGTCTTGACTCCCCATCCCCTAAACTGCAAAAAATGTCCACCTAACCAAGTTTTAAAATCTTATATCCAGCCAAAAAAAGTCATTTTGATCTTGTTTTGAGACTGATTTACTAAACAAGAACTGACTGTGTAAGAATAATAATCTTGTTTTCAGAAAGTGTAAGATTTTTTATCTTAGTCTGAAAATTTGACTCAAATTAAGTCAAAAATTTCTGCCACTGGAGTAAGAAAATTTTACTTGGTAAGATTCTTGAAATACTTGATTTGACTCAATTTTTTCTTTTTTCAAGAATCTTACCAAGTAAAATTTTCTCACTCCAGTGGCATAAATTTTTGACTTAATTTGAGTCAAATTTTCAGACTAACAAGACAAATAATCTTACACATTGTGAAAACAAGATTATTATTCTTGCACAATCAGTTCTTGTTTAGTAAATCAGTCTCAAAACAAGATCAAAAAGACCTTTTGGCTGGATATAAGATTTTAAAACTTGGTAAGATGGACAGTTTTTGCAGTGAGCCGTATCATCCGTGGGTGGATCAGTCTGAAGGCTGCAATGGGTGGAGACAGAGAATTGAACTCTGGTGATTTGTGCTTTGGTTGACAACAACTTTTTTTGGACTCCGGAGGTCTTTGATTGGTTCCAACACGGAGTACTAATCTGAAACGTCACCGGCTCCGCTGAACCCCACCCCATACCATGTGTTTGACCCCCAGCCTCCTCCCTCTCCCTTTCCTTAGCTGCCTTGAAAATGAGCGAGTGGTTTTTTTGAGCGTGTGATTCTGTGTTTCTGTGTAAACATAGGATCAGAGCATTTTTTTAACTCATCTTTCCTATTGTGTGTATTCCAAACTGCAAAAGGTGGTGCGACCGCCGTTGCGAAAGACCTTGGACATTCATTCCCCCATGTTTGTTATGTGTGTCCTTCTCCGAACGGACGTTCTAAACTGCAATTTTGTTCTGCATTGCATCTTTGATGTTGTGTGTGAATGATAATAAAGTTGATCTGATTCTGATTCAGTTTTGGGTCTCCAACTATTCACCAACAGTCAAACTCTAGTGAGATACAGGCTTAAAGAACAGTTTCATAGAAAGTATAACAAAAACATCTCTTGTTATTAAAAGCCGACACAGTTTAGAAATGAAACTCTTCATTTCAAGATGATCCTGTAAAACATTGTAACATTATATGATTATTGTTATATTTTTAGTCCCTGCATGAGACATCCAGCCTGTCCTGTAGAGTGAAGAGAAGGTCAAAAATAAAGTGAGACACATTTAAAACCAGCCCGCTATAATGTTCATCCCAAAAGCCCCCTTTCAGAGCTTTAACCACAAACTGTGTCAAACATCAAAACCATGTGAGTCTAACCTGGAGGACCTAGGTTCCCAGAATTCCCAGGGAAAGCAGGTTGTTGTCAAGGCAAAAAAAGGAAAAAAAAAGAGCATGTTTAGGCAAAAAGCAAGAAAAAAAACAGACAACAGTAACAGAAAGTCTTACATAAGCAGTTAATATTCATACTGTTGTATTGATTTTGTACAAGGCTGTCTTGTTAGCGCTGAGTGGCTCTGAAACTTGTACAACTTACTGTATATGTTGTTATGCAATTCCAAAAACATAAAATTATTCTTTTTTTTAAGACAAAATTTAAATAAGACCAAAGCTAACAGCAATAACATCCATAGAATTTTTACACTGGTTATTATACTTTAAGGACTAAACATGTAGTAAACTTTAAAATAAACTTTTACTATATATTGGTAATATATAGATTTGTATTAATGTATGTGACACACTATTTAAATAGAAATTCTTAGTGAGTTAGTTATTTGTTGTGTTTTGATGCATAAACTTCATGGTGCTTTACAATCTGAGTAGTAAAGTGAAATTTGACCCCAATTATCATGCTTCAAGTGCAAAACTGTACTCGGAAAAAGCATTTCCAAAGTACTATTTTCATTAAATATTCTTTAAAACATGCTTACGTGTTATAAGTGGACTATCCTACCATCAGTGTGCGTGGGTAAGTAAGAGAAAAGACTCATTAGGAAATCAGAGAAAGATTTAGTGAATTGATAAGTTTTCAAGTTGTTTGTTTTCCTCCTCAGAGGGTCAAAGAGAGGTCAGTGCTGCAGAAAGAGACGTGCAGAGAAGCCTGGACGCTGTTCAATCTGACCTGAGGGGCCTGCGAGGTCGGACGTTAAAGTTGCCACGTTGGAGGGTGGAGCCATACCACAATGGGCGGGGCCACACCACAGTGGGTGGAGCCAAGCCACAGAGAACATGGAGCAAGATGTCAATACATTTACAATCTATTAAAACACTTTTTTTAATCATCTAGCCTCACAAAGTTATGGAGCACCCTGCGTTCAGATTAAACCCAATTTACTGATTTACTTGTATCTGTTCTAAATGTATTTTTTAAACAGATTTTGTCAAAAAACAATTTTATCTGCCATGAATGTTATATCATATAATTAAGAAGTTCATGATGGCCAATTTTTGATTTGTGTGACCATTTGTAATGGAAAATACCACATATTTTTATTTGAAGACAAGTTTATTTAACCCTTCTGCTGTCCTCGAGTCAAAATTTCCAGTGGCCTCTGTTTTAAAGGGAACTCRGACAGGTTGAAACTGGTTGTATATTTGATAAACATTTACTTTAACTATAAAAATAAGACTATAAAAATACTGTAGGTTGTTGAGTTTTTATAAATATTGTCACACAGATGGCACCATTTTATTTACGCCATGAAACATTCTGGGTAAACGATGACACTTACCGGTGAGGCCTCTATTATTTAGCCATTTAAAATTAAACAGGAGTGGTTGACAGAGAGGAGAATGTAGAAATAACAGTCTGACACYGAAAATGATGGAGGACAACAAAGATGCTGCATGGAAGGAGAGCCTCAGTTTTACATATAAAACATACATATATTTACATAATACATATGTTTTACATTTACTTTTACA